AATTTTTAATTTTATTATTTTTTTTGTGTGTGTACTGTCAAATTGGATGTGACTGGTACAGGAGGAGATGATTGTCCCTCCTTCTCCAGCAGAGCATCTGGTGGATTCGAACTGCGCACCTCTGGGATTGCAGTGCAGCTTCTTGCAGAATAATATACAATTTTTTAAAAACTAGTTTTATTGTTTCTGTTAAGATTAAAAATGAAGCTAGGAAAAGGACTCTTACTCTATAGTAATTAAGAAAAAAATAGTGTTTCCTTGTTATGATCAAATTTATTGAGTATTAGTAATGAGCCAGGTACAGTATACATATCCATGTTGTTGTTTACCACCACATAAGAACCAACTTATAGTCAATCCCCACAGATTTTCAGAGGCAGTAAATCACACAAGAGGAGACTGCCCATTTTTCTACCGTGGAGCAGTTAGTAGATTCCATCCACATACCTCTGGGTTAGCAGCACAGGTCCTTAACCACTAAGCCACCAGAGCACCCTGTAATGTTTAGTACAGCTTTAAAATTGTTTGTAAATATGTTGTAATCACTCATTGCCATTGAGTTGGGACCACCTCACAGCTGAACCTCCAGCAGGTTTTTAGAGTCTATAAATGAGAGGAAATTGTTCAGTTTTTCCCCTTGGAGCAGTTGGTAGATTCAGAGCTATGCCTCTGTGTTGGCAGCACAAATCCTTACTCACTAGATCAATAGAAAGTTCCCTGTGCTTTAATAATAAAAATTATTTAAGTCTTTTTTTATATGTTGTTGTTACATGCCATCGAGTTGGAACTGACTCATAGCTGACCCTCCAGTGGTTTTCCAGAGGCTGTAAATCACATGAGAGGAGATAGTTCATCTTTCTTCTTGAAGTACCTGGTATATTCATACACCTACCTTTGGTCTAGCAGCACAATTCCCTACCTCTAGTCACGATGATGTTGTTATTGTTTATTGTTGAGTTGGAACTGACTTATAATTGATTCTTCTTTTTGATGAGATTCTGAATATTGCGTTAGAGCGCCGAGAAGCCAAAACTAAAGGAAGAAACCAAGAAATCAAAGAGCTAAACAGAAAATTTCAAAAGGCAGCCCGGGACGACAAAGCAAGAAACTGTAATGAAATGTGCAGAGAGCTAGAGTCAGAAAATCTAAAGGGCCGAACTTGCTCAGCGTTTCTTAAGCTGAAGGAGCTGAAAAACAAATTCAAGCCATGGGTGGCAATACTTAAGGATACTTTGGGTACAATGTTAAATGATCCAGGAAGTATCAA